ACATACATACATACATACATACATACATACATACATACATACATACATACATACATACATACATACATACATACATACATACATACATACATACATACATACATACATACATACATACATACATACATACATACATACATACATACATACATACATACATACATACATACATACATACATACATACATACATACATACATACATACATACATACATACATACATACATACATACATACATACATACATACATACATACATACATACATACATACATACATACATACATACATACATACATACATACATACATACATACATACATACATACATACATACATACATACATACATACATACATACATACATACATACATACATACATACATACATACATACATACATACATACATACATACATACATACATACATACATACATACATACATACATACATACATACATACATACATACATACATACATACATACATACATACATACATACATACATACATACATACATACATACATACATACATACATACATACATACATACATACATACATACATACATACATACATACATACATACATACATACATACATACATACATACATACATACATACATACATACATACATACATACATACATACATATTAAAAATTCCATGGCACTTAATGATTGTTTAGTTTCTTTTGTCATATTTGCGAATTAATTGTCTTGCATGCAAGAAATTATCTCCTTTGTTATCTTTTATGTCATTCATATTTAATAGATTGTTTGTTATTGTAGTATTTTACAACTGCAGTTTGTAGTTTTTATTTTTTTTATAGAATCATTAATATATATATTTATTGTATAATAAAAAGAATCATGATTTAGGTTTACATAACTGCTATTTTCTGTTATTGTTAATTCTGAGGTTGAAAATATGCTTACTGGGTAATTGTTCTATCTAAGTAAGTTTAGTATTTTGATATCTGCTTTGTCCTAGAGGTCAGTAGATTATTTATACCTTTAAGAACGTATTTTATGAACAACATCATGTCCAGTGAGGTAGTGAGATTTTCAGAATCAACACTTTAGTCATTTTGCTTTTCCCTTTACATGCAGATGCCATTGCAAATCAGTTTCTCCTTGTATTTCTCAACCATAGCCAAACCTGTCATCATCAAATCATTAATATGTGATTTTGTTTTCCGCCTCATAGAATCAACGACCGACTAATATCAGCTAACAGCATCAGCCTAGAAAATGTGGACTACGCCCGCGCGGTGCAGGTGCTTCGGGACTCGGGCGCCGCCGTGCAGCTGGTGGTCAAGAGAAGGATCGTGCTGCCCGCCGCGCCCGAGGCCCAGACGCTCAAGGTCACCCTCACCAAAAATAAGAAGAAAGATGGTAAGCGAGGTTATCAGTCAGATTTTGTCATTTACATATATATGTAAATATATGTAAACACACACATATATATAGTATACATACATACGTACATACATACATACATACATACATACATACATACATACATACATACATACATACATACATACATACACATATATATGAATATTTATAGATATAAATATATTCATATATGTATATATATGTATGTATGTATATATGTATGCATAGATGACCACAAACAGAGTATCATGTACACAAATGTTAAAGGGAAAACAGATATAATTAGAAATGAAACACTATCGTAAGGTTCCGAACTCTTCACGAGTTCTTCATATGAGTAATTAATTGAAATGGATCATCACATCACCATGTACAGGTACACACACACAAAAAAATGTAATAATAATAAAATAAGATAAAAAAAACGTATCAGCGATAAGCTCCCTCTCATTATCTTTAAATAAAGGACTATAATTAAAAGAGTTTTTGTGTCAGACAAACGAAATTTGGAATCAATTAGAGTCGTTTTTCTCATTAGTAAGGTTATTAGTATTTGGCAAATTTATATTTGTTTGTTATTTTAGTACCAAATGCGAGGGTTTTACTGTGTACGAGAAGAGATACTATACTGGTAATACATTTAACTTGTAACAGTAACTGCACTGCTAAATACACATCATATATACACCAGCTTAAGTCCATGCTGCTGTTCACAAAAAAAGAGTGAGAGGTAAGCTCAAGTAGTTAAGTAAGCTGCCTAAAACAGTTCTAAATGCAACACCCTCTGGCTTATTATGACTGGCTATGCCCTGAAGAATGCCTGTCAGATACTTCAACACATAGCTACATTATCAGATTCATTTGAATAATGGTCTTTAATTAATGTTAATATATATACTTTTTATTTACTAGGTAATTGAACTTAGAATATCTCCCTTTTCATTTGGTTGATTAATAGAATATTTTATGTATGTCTATATTATATAAAGTATCCTGATGCTTGATTCCTTGTGGCTTCCCTAATTTCTCTGCTTTCGTTGTATGTGTGGTATGAAAATTTTTAAAGATATTTTTTGTCATTTATTTTCTCTCTCTCCCAGATTTCGGCATAGTATTAGGCTGCCGCATCTACGTGAAGGAGATCTCAAACAAGGCGAGCGTTGAGAAGGATGGCAACCTGAAAGAAGGCGATGTGCTCCTACGCATCAACTCGACGTCGACCGAGAACATGACGCTGAAAGAAGCACGGAAGGTCCTTGAGAGCACGAAGGAGAGGCTGCAGCTCCTGGTCCGGAGAGACCCTCCTCCTCCCATGATGGCTCCTCCAGATCACACTGTCAAGGGTAAGGCATTTTGAGGGATGGCTTGTGCTAGTGCTTGTAAAGTGTATTCTGAATTCTGGATTGTAATTAGGTCTATTGCATATGAAGATGATTAACTTCTGGATTGTGCTTTCTTTTTTTTTGCATTAAAGGGTGCTTATGAATTGTAATTTGTATTTCATAAGAAATAAAATAAGGTGCTTTCACAAACCAGTTTAGAACTTCCTGATGAGTCTTGATGAGTCTGGTCAGTAGACTGATGCAAAAGAACATCCTTGAAAACCCTTTTATTTATCAAAAAAGGAAAAGAGAAAGAAAAAGACTAACCATCAAATTGAATACCGTTCCAGATATCCGCAATCCTGAGTACAGTGACACACGTCCAAACTACCCAACCCAAAACCTGTACGTTCAGCCCCCAACCCGATCAGAACCTCAGCGTAGCATTTATGGTCCAGACACCCCAGATGCGAAAAACAACCTCATGAGGTCTGGGTAAGTAATAATTCTTTCATATTTGTAAAGACTTCTCTGGTATTTTTGATTTCTTTTTTTTTTATAACACAAACTACTTCAGTGGATTTGATAAATTTTAGTAAATACTTATAACATCTATGTATATATTTTTTTTAGATTATATATTTTTGGGTGGTGTTCACTTTATTTTTTGTTTTTTTTTCCTTCACTGATTGGCTATATATTCTTAACATTTTGTATGAGTTTGAGAAGTATTAAGATTAATTTTTAGAAAGTCATGTAGTTAGTTAAGGTTGGATGAATTTGAATTTAAAGAGATATTTGTAATGATTCGCAGTAATGGTAACATTAATTACAGAGTGTGTATACTTTTGGTAGGTTTCACTTGAATAACAGCTTTTGCTTCTTTATATATACATGTCTATATCTATATACATATGTAGGTTCTAAATCATGCTGCTCTCCTCTTTGTACCCTAGTCTAATCACACAACCATGGGTTAGCAAAGTACTCTGCTTCACCAGGTTTGGCACAGTTTTGTTCAAGGCTTCATAATGCACAGATGAAGCTTGGGCCTCTCTCCGACCTTCAATCACCCAAGCCGTTTTACTTTTAAACCTCCTTAGTCCTGTTTTTATTTTATTTTTTATTTTTTTTTCTTTTTTTTTTTGTCTTAGTACAATTAGTAAGTAAATGAAGAAAAAAATCATAGAAATAGACTTTTGGATTAATGAGGTTCTGTAATTTATTTTTGCTTTCCTTTTTTATGTTTTCATTTTTGAAAATTTTTATATTTTCTCATCAATTCCAATCGGTTGCCCACACCTTTTCATGGGTGTAAGATTCTCGTGCACGAAGGCTTATATACATGTCTGTTTAAGGAAGGTTTGGGAGAGTGCCTAGTCTCAATACATCCCCCAGCACTGCCATAACCCACTGCTGCTGTTATGTTCAGGTATAACCCTGGGGGCATGTCATCGGGGGAAGCTCCATTTGGTTTAGATGACCAGGGCTCCCCCCAGGATGATGCTCCTCCCCCACGTCCTCCCCTCCCCCGTCCTGAGGATTACTTCCCTCGTCATGCACCTAAGGAAGGCCAAAACTCACCATCCAAGGGCCCCAGCCTCCCGGTGTAGGTTTTTATGCCCTTTTGGTCACTGCCTCTCCTACAATATCTGTTTACGGTTAGCTGACATATATACATATATATATATATATATCCATCTCTGATCTTTGGAACTGTCACTTCTTCTCACTGTCTTCTTGTACACTTTTAGCAGACTTTTTAACACATTAAACTCTTGTGCTCCTGATCACGGGGTTTCCTTTATTGATTGGAAATAGAGTTTGAAAATATGATTATCAACATATCATTTCCCCCTTTGCATTAGGAAGTAAAATTAATAAATGTATATTTGTTTTTTGGTATAGGAGGAATCATGCAAAATATATTTGATTTTGAGATGTCTGCAAATTCACATCTCATATGATTGATTTAGCGTACTCTGATTTTATTCAACAGAAGTCCTTCCTCTGCGACTCACTGTATGCAAAAACTGAATGCAGTATTTCATTCTTTGTGTCATATTATTGTACTTAGAATAAATTGTTGACTGAAATTGTTTTATGTAGAGAGGTGCAAGAAAAAAAAAGAATATACGAATATTAAATGAATGATGTACAATGTAGTAATAAACATTGACAGGCTGGGATTTGTATTAGAATGTTAGACATGAAAGCTATTGTTATGCCATTGAATGCCCCTTTTAACTCCTGTTGACTCGACCTCTCCTTTCCTGCTTTCTGTCTCTCTGATCTTAGTAGCCTTCTCCGTCTGCCTTTTATGTCAATGGAAAGTGTACTGCACTCTTGTTTTTTTTTTCTCTCTCTCTCTCTCTTTCTCTCTCTCTCTCAACTAATAATTAGAGCACTGTGATGACTCGTAGCTTCTCTCACACTGGTATGTGGCCTGGATATGACACTTACATTTGGGGTGCTTTACTAACAGTGTTATAATTTGGGTGCTATATTCACTTGATTACGTTTTGCTGCGATTGCTAATGATTGCTTGGGATTAATTAATTTTAGCTTAAAATTATTTTTTTCCCTGATTTTTTTTTTTCTCTCTCTCCTTAGGAGAACTATAAACAGTGATTACATTTAAAGTGTTTCTGATTGCATTAACTGCAATGAGTTTGATGTTTTGAGATGATGTTAATTGTTTTGATGGTAATAATTGTTCATAAGATATAAAGCTTGTCATGATTAACAGAAAAGTAGAAATTTCGCAGCATTGCATTTATTAAACTGTAAAATAATATAATGAATAAAGAATAGGATTAGGGTAAATATGATGCTTATTGACCTTACATTCTTAATATCAATAGGAATAGTTTAGTCATCATTATTAGACAACATATAGATCAAGATAGAAAATTAAATAGTATAATATATACTTAGATGCATATGTTTTTCTTTTGGAGGTAATGGAGTTATGGATAATTTTTAATCACTTCGTAGATGGGAAATAGTTTACTAATGATATGCTATCACTTGGTATAGCTAATAAAATCACAGTGAAGGTAGTATTGAAATATTTATTTGGTTATGATTCTGATTTTTTGTGTTATCACCCAGGATAGCAGTATATTTTTTGAACTTGCTCCCCCCCCTCTAGAATACTATTTTATGCTTATTTTTGAAAATAGTTATTGTTTTATTTTTTGACATTAAAAAAGAGAAGTTGCTTCTTTATTCCTCCTAAAGTCTCCAATAAATTTTATTGTTCTGATATTGCATCTTTAGGAAGTAAATATCCTTAGTTTCCTAAATTGATCTGTCAGTGCTCATGGTGAATAAATTTTATGTTGTGTTTATCTCATACAGTAGTTTCTGAGAAATAAAGGTTTGCATGATCTGGTAACTGGTGAAATAGCATTCATGTTTCAAGTTCTCAGTTGTGTCTCCAGCTTTGCACTAAGATATAAAGAATATGTGTTGATTTAAGAGAATATATCCCGCCTATAATCAATAAAAAAAAGCCACATTCATGCGATAAATTTATAAGGAAGCGATTCAGGCTAAACTGTATTGAAAAGTATTTTCACACTGAAGAATATTTTATTTTTGCTTGGCCATTGTTAAGTGCATTTTCACTTATGTCACAGGAGCTTCTCTCTTGGCTTAGAGCAACAAAATTTGTTAATTTATGTTTCATTTCTTTTTCTTTTCTTTACTCTTGGTTATTATTTGTTTTTTTACTTTTTTTTCTATATTTGTTTCAGTTAAGTTGTTACATAATTCAGTTTTTCATTGTTGATTTATTAATTTGTTTGTTTATCTTTTTTTTTTCTGTGTTACCCCTCTTGCACAGCCATATCACAAGGTCACTACTTGTGTTGGGTCTCTTGCTTCTTACCTTCCTCAAGAACTATGTCAGCAAACTTAGATTAGAAGTAACGAGAGTTGCAGGCTGTTGAGTGCTTAATGATTATATATGCTTCATTATATATAAAATAAGTGTGTGACACAAGCTGAGTGAGATTATTTGTGGAAATATCTTTTGAGTAAATTTGTGCTTGAACTTGTTACTTAGTACTAGTTCATAGTAACAATAGCAAAACTTGCCATTAAAGTACAACTGAAATTTAATATTAAAGTTTAAACTTAACTAAATTGCTTTAAAAAATGCTGAAGTGTTAGTTGTGGTGCAGTATTTTGCTCTGTGTCTGAAGTGCTAACAAGGCTCAGGTTTTAATCTCATCCATTTTGGTGTGTAGACCAGACCCACGTTTTGTGAGCTTCAAGAAGGAGGGGAGTGTGGGTATACGATTAACAGGCGGCAACGAGGTAGGAATTTTCGTGACGGCAGTGCAGCCCGGATCGCAGGCTCAGCTCCAAGGACTTATACCAGGCGATAAAATACTTAAGGTGAGCTCCTGATTGTTCTTAACCCCTTGGATCCGGGTGCTTTGCTGCCCACACGTGGCCCAAAATCCAAGCATTAGACTTACTTGAGTGGGTCACTCTCACAGGTGTGTGGCTTGAAGGCCAGGCACACAGGAATACTCATGTGTAGTGTCAAGATTCCTTGCCTCCCCTTTGCAATGCTATTTACTCTTTATATCCATAGGTATATTTTGCATGTCTGCCATTTTCCAATGTCTATATTTGTCATTTTGATAAGCTGTATCTAGACGGTTTTCTTGTGGCAGACTCCATATCATATCAGTGCAATAGTTAAAATAATAAGTAACAATCTCATGACAGCATTTTCCCATCACACTGGCCTTCAACAAAATTTTTCCATCATGGTATGTTCATGTCACTTGACCCTCAAGCCAAATTTTTTCATGAAGTGATTGTCATGTCACCTGGATCATAGGGTTTTAACTGTTTACCCTGTCAGAGCAAAATATTGCGTTCCTTGTTTTAAGGAAAAGGGTTCAGATTGGATGTATTTGTGAAGCTTCATTGTGTTAGGAATGTATTTTCTTTTTTCATTTCTATAGTAAAATGTATTTGTTTAAAGGTACATTGAGTTGTTAGTAATTCTTAGCTACTTGCAGGAATCAGTAATTTAGTTAATTATTATGTAGATACCAAGACCATCTACTTAAAGAAGTAAAATACCCAGTGTCTGATAAAGTTCATTCTTCAGTGATTCATTTGCTTCACACCCTCCTCCCCCTTAAACCAGGTTAACGACATGGACATGGCAGGCGTAACGAGAGAGGAAGCAGTTCTTTACCTCATGAGTCTTCAGGATCAGATTGACCTCATTGTACAGACACGTAGGCAAGACTATGAACTCATTCTCAACAATCAAAAGGGAGATCTCTTTTACATAAAGTAAGTAATTTGGGAATGTTCCTTTGTAGTATATTTGGGCAAGTCTTGATTTTATTTAATGGATGTGGCATTGTGATATATTTCTTAACTAGGGATTAAAGGTGTTTTATACTGTTTTCAAAGAAATGTTTGTGTTACAGTAGATGCAAACTGTAATGTTATACTTAAATAATATAGATGGGTCTTCATACTTTTTTTTATCATCTAGAGTAATTTATTAGTAATGTAGATAAGAGTAATGATTTGGTTACTAAGCAACAGGTGGTTTTCAGAATATAACTTGTATTTTTATCTCACAGGACACACTTCCATTATGAACCCAATGGAAAATCTGAACTGAGCTTCCGTTCTGGAGACATCTTTCGTGTTGTAGACACATTGCACAATGGTGTTGTAGGGGCATGGCAGGTAAGGCTGTGTTGAATTGAGAGCAGGCCTTGTGACTTCTCTTGAATTTTGGTTTTATTTTACTTCTCAGACACTTGTTTGTTGTTTGAGTTGACAGAAGATTCTTTCTTTCTTTTTCTTTTTTTTTGGGGGAGTAGGGTATAGTAAGAGCTTATAGATGCAGACAAAAATTTGAAGTGACAGAAAAAATAGATAAATGAATTTATTTAACTCCACAGGTTCATAGAATTGGTAGGAACAACCAAGAGACACAGAAGGGTATAATACCCAACAAAGCACGTGCTGAGGAGCTGGCTACAGCACAGTTCAATGCTGCAAAGAAAGAGCAGACTCAGTCTGAGTCACGTAGCGGATTCTTCAAGAGACGGAGAAATTCTCGCAGATCAAAGTCCCTGGGGAAGGTATGAAGATTTTAGAGGGCTATGAAATAGTCTAAACTTCTTTAATATTAGATTTAGTACATTTTTTGTGTCAGTCATGCCTAGATTTAGTATGCAGTGATGCTCCTTCATTTGATATATTATTATAGATATATTTAATAATGCCTTTCTATCATTCACAAGTAATGTTAATTAAGAATTGGTGTTAAATGGTGCTACAATGTTGATTTTTATCTGTGTTTTGAGAATTAGGGTTGTTGATAATGAGATTTACAAATATCCTGATGCTCTTTCCTCCTTTTCCCTTTTTAATCTTAATCTTGGAGGTTCAGTCTTACATCAGTCTATCTTTTGAACAGGACCACTGGGAAGACGTGGTGTTTGCAGACTCAGTGTCAAAGTTTCCTGCGTATGAGAGGGTGACTCTTCGACATCCGGGCTTCGTGAGGCCAATTGTCCTCTTTGGCCCCCTGGCAGACATTGCACGGGATAAGCTGCTGAAAGAAAATCCAGAGAAATATGCATCTCCACGTAAGTATTCTTCTTCCTGTTCGGGTCAGATGATTTTTCCTTTCTTTCTTTTTTTTTTTCTTTTTTCTTTTTTCTTTTTTTATAAGTATTATATTACATGATACAACTATGGTTACATGATAAGTGTAGCAATTTTAATGGCTTGTACAGCGATTAGTGTAGATCTTGCACTACTTTAGGAAAGGGATTAGGATTTTCAGAAACAAACAAATGATGTAAATTATGAAATGTCACTACTTAACAAGCATTCCTCGCAGTATAGTTTAATTTTCTCAATATATACTTGCTCTCATTATGGCATGTGTCACATGACTGTTACATTAAGCAATAGGTCTCCATGTCTAGCCTGCCTTTGATTAATTTAATTACGACTAGGAATTTAATCAAGCATGGCCAGAATTATACTATTTATTTTATCCTTTTTTTTTTTATCTCCCAAGGCCATGAAATGACAGCCAAGATTTATGCTTGGAATATATATTATCTTAATAGCAACAGTGTTTATTGAACAGTAACACAGATCATTGAAAAGGATTACTTTAATGGCATTTTTAAAGCACCGGTCAGGTATGAGGAGCAAGTAGGTAACATTGATTTAGGGGTTTCAAAAAGCCAGAAAGAG